TTTAAAGAGGTCTTGTGCAGCAGCTTTTCCTAATACAATACGTTGTTTAATTTCTTGACTACTGCTTTCATGAGTGTTGATTGTGCATCCAAGCAAAATGAAGTGTTTGACAACTTAAATCTTTTCTCCATTTATCATGTTATTTATTGGTCTAGTTGTGATAATATTTGTTGTCTTTACATTGAAGTGCAATCCATACTGAAGGCTGTGGACTTTGATCTTCATCAGTAAATATTTTAAGTTCTCTTCACATCCATCAAGCAAGGTTGTATCATTTGCATATCGCAGGCTACTAATAATGAGTCTTCCTCCAATCCTGATGTCACTTTCTTCTTCATATAATCCAATTTCTTGGGTTATTTGCTCAGCACACAGATTGAATTAAGAATGGTAAGAGGATACAACCTTGGCATACAATCTTTCTTGATTTTAAACCATTCAGTACCCCCTTCATCTATTTGAACAACTATCTCTTGGTCTACATACAGGTTTCTCATAAGCACAATTAAGTGTTCTGGGATACCCATTCATTGCAATGTTGTCCATACCTTGTCATGATCCACATAGTCAAAAGCCTTTGCATAGTTAATAAAGCACAAGTAGACATCTTTCTGGTATTCTCTGCTTTAAGCCAATATCCATCTGACATCAGCAATGATATCCCTAGTTCCACGTCTTCTTCTGGATCTGGCTTGAATTTCTGGTCGTTCCCTGTCATTATGAATGCTTATTGGTCAAGAAAGTTGGATAGCGTATATCTCACTTTATTTAACTGCACTTTTTAGGTATTTTTAAACTTTTAAATAATAAACAATGAGAGGACTTCAAAAGGTTCATGGAAAAATGGAATTTTTCCATGTAGAATCCCCCTCCTATAGTATTTGGTTCTCCATTTATATGCTTACTTTGGGGCCTGGCTATTGTCTTCTCATAATACTATCTAGGACATACTACAGCCCAAGGCCAAATCCAGTTCTTTTCTTAGCATTGCAAATAAGGTTTTATTGGACCATTAATTTACATTTTACCTATGACCAACTTTCACCTACAACAGCAGAGTTGAACAAAAATTATATGATTCATAAAGCCTACAATCTTTATTCATATGGTCTTTCACAATAAAAAAAGCTGCCAACCTCTAATCAAAGGTAACAATTTAAACTTGGAACAGAAATAAAGTTTAAAACAAGGTACTAAGAGTAAAAATTATGAAGGAACGGGTTGACAAATTTATCTACATTAAAATTAAGTACATGAGTTCATCAAAACCATCAAGTGAAAAGGTAAATTACACACAATATTTGTAACACTTAACTGATAAAGAGCTAGTCCAAAATAAAAGGAACTATAGCCAATAAGAATCATTCAAACAGCCAATTGAAAAATGAGTAAAAACAAGAAGTGAAGAAAATGAAAACAAGTCCAAGAGAGCCAAAATATGACCTTGAATATATCCCACCTGAATTTAGAGATCATGTGAAGAACAGATTTGATACGTTAAACACTAAATACCAAAGACCAGAAGAGTTGTGGGATAACATAAAGAACATCATACATGAAGAAAGCAAAAAATCATTGAGAAGACAAGAAAGAAGGAAAAGGTCAAAATGGATGTCAGAAGAGACACTGAAACTTGCTCTCCAGCATAGAGATGCTAAAGCAAATGAAAGAAATGAGGAGGTCCCAGAGCTAAACAGAAAATTTCAAAGATCAGCTCGAGAAGATAAAACCAAAATTTACAACAAAATGTGCAAAGATCTGGAATCAGAAAACTAAAAAGGAAGAACACACTCAGAATTTCTTAAGCTGGGAGAACTGAAGAAAAATTCAAGCCTCGACACATTGTCCGGAGAGAACAGTCGCTGGAGAAGGAGATCATGTTTGTTAAGGTGAAGGGTCAGAGAAAAAGAGGAAGACCCTCAACGAGATGGATTTTCCAAGTGGCAGCATCGATGGACTCAAGCGTGGCACCAGTAGTGAGGTTGGCCCAGGATCAGGCAGTTATTTCGTTCTGCTGTGCATAAGGTCACTATGGATTGTTACCGACTCGATGGCACCTAACAACAACAACAAAATCAAGAACAGACATTTTATGGAAAAGGAACCAAGTACTGCAATTAAAAATATGAAAAGATGGCTGAATGCATTAGGACACAGGAAATAGAATTAAAATCATAATTTTGTACTACTTATTTTTAAAATATTTTCCAAAATTTAAAAACAGATATGGAACAATGAGAGCTCTTACCACCTCTTGTTGTTGTTAAGTGCTGTCAAGTCAATTCCGACCCTGTATAGGGTTTCCAAGGAGTGGCTGGTGAGCTTGAACCACCGATCTTGCAGTTCAAATGGCTTTGCAGTCTGGTGCATTAACCCACAGCGCCACACCAGGACTCCAGGAGGAGATTTAAATTGGTTTGACAATTTTAGGAAAGTTTGTCATTTCCATTAAAGAAGAACATATGCAAATCCTGTTGTTGCTGTTAAGTGCTATCAAGTCAATTTCAATACATACAACAGAATGAAACATATGACCCTGCACCGTCTTCACAATTGTTATGTTTAAGACCATTGTGGCAGCCATTGTGTCAATCCAACTTGTTGAGGGTCTTCCTCTTTTTCACTGGCCTTCTACTCTACCAAGCACGAAGTCCTTTTCCAGGGAATGGTTCCTCCCCATAATATGTTTTTAGCATGAAAGATGAAGTCTCACCATTCCTGCTTCCAAGGAGCATTCTAGGTGTACTTCTTCCAAGACGGATTTGTTTGTTCTTCTGGCAGTCCATAGTATATTCAGCATTCTTTGCAAACACCATAATTCAAATCCATCAATTCTCTTGTCTGCCTTCCTCATTTTCCAGTTTTTATATACATAATAGGAGTCCCTGTGTGGCGCTATGGGTTAATGTACTGGACTTCAAGGTTGGTTGGAACTGCAGGTCAGTGGTGCAAGCTCACCAACCACTCCGTAGAAACCCTATACAGGGTTGCTATGGGTCGAAACTGACTCAACATCACTTAACAACAAAGTATATATATATATAGAGAGAGAGAGAGAGAGAGAGAGAGAGAGTGAAAATAGCATACCTTGAGTCAAGTCCATACTAGTCTTCAATGTGGTATCTTTGCTATACACATTCTACAACCTATTACCATTAGGTATGAAAACTATAAATCAACTCTTGATACATGAACACCAAGAAATATGTGCACAAATGTTTACAACAGCATGGTTACTAGTGTTTGTTGCTAAGTCCCAATTGAGGTGGTTTCGACTCATACTGACTCTACATAGGGTTTTCGAGGAGCAACTGGTGGGTTTGAACTGCTGACCTTGTGGTTCACAGTCCAGTGCTGATCCTATAGTGCCACATGAGGACTCCATATTTTCTTGTGTTGTTTGACATTCTTGTTTTTCTTCCTCCCCCTCTATATTTATTAGGAGAGGGGGAAAAGGTAAAACAAAACCAAGAACGTCAAACCACACGTATATATGAAGAAAACAACAAGTACAGTTCCAGTTCACATGCATGGGTTTATTCCAAACCAAATGTTGCAAAACATATCTTAGTCTTGTTGTTAAGTGCTGTTGAGTCAGTTCTGACCCATAGTGACCCTGTATAGGGTTTCTGAGGAGCAGCTGATGAGCTTGAACCACCAACCTTGCAGTTCAAACAGCTCTGCGGTCTGGCATACTAGCCCACAGTGCCATACCAGGACTCCTTAGTTTTGTTAGGGTGCCTTCAAAAAAATGGCCAATCAGAACAGTGACTTCTGAGGATCTGTGAAGTTAACTAAATTCTAGGCAGAGAAAGCAACACAAAAGGTTATGGCAACTGAGATTTGGCATTCCAAAGGTTAGCAATCTTGATGTATTTTATTGATGGCTACAGGACTGGTACAAGGACTTAATGGGAAGATGTTTTAAGAAAACTGAAAACTGCATTGTTGAGAAAAAGGCCAGGAATGTTGTGCCAGGGAATTCTTCCTATGCCAATCAGGCACCTGCTCATTCTTTTAAGGTAGCAAAGATTGCCCAACAAGAATTTCATTGGGAAACCTTACCCCATCCATCCTATAGCCCTGATCTTGAACTTAAACATTTAAAAGCAACATGATTTGAGGACCTGAAGAATGTCAAAACTACCCTACATCACCACATCAGAGATGGAAACACTGCCTTCAGAAATGTATAGACCTAGATGGAGGACATGCTGGGAAAAGATAGATTTACATTTCAATATTTTTGTTTAATACAGGATTCTGTGGTTTTATAGTAATACTTTTTAAATTATCATCATATATCAACAGAAGACAGGATAAGAACATTCTGATATATTCACTATGGACTACCATACAAGAATGTAAACTAACGAAAAACAGCTGCAAGCATTAATATAGATGAACTGATAAGCCAAATTTGAGTATAAGATGCAGGTGTTCCATTAATATCAAGTTCAAAAGCAGAAAATCACACAACGTGTTATCTAATGACACCTGTACATAGTCTTAAAACAACAAAGAGGAGCAAGAGAATGGTTATCCCCAAATCCATGATAATGGTAGAAGTTGAGCAGGTACAATCTGTGAGGAATGAACAGATGTTTCTAAAGTACAAGAAATATTTGTTGTTGTTGTTTTTTAACATCAAGTACACAGATATTGTACCAGGAGTCCTGGTGTGGCGCTGTGGGTTAATGTGCCAGACTGCAAAGCTGTTTGAACTGCAAGGTCAGTGGTTCAAGCTCACCAGCTGCTCCCAGGGTCGCTATGGGTTGGAATCGACTCAGCAGCACTTGACAACAACACAGATATTTATCACTTTTGTCCAAACTGCACAGATTTTATATACACTTCTTTGTTTGCATGATATAATATTTAAATTTTTTTAACTGCCATATAAAATAGAAATAGTTCATATGAGTCTGCTTAAGACTTAGGCCAGTTAGAATGTTTTTATTGCCAAACGAAGATATATAAATGTCTAAATGAACACTTACCCTGTGCAGTTTTTCCATTGTTTCTAGGAGAGCTTGAATATGAACATAACTGTTATCACTTTTAGTCCAATAATGCTGTTGCGAGAGGATGGCTCTTTTAAGCACATGGATCAGTTTGACAAAAGTGGATTCTGGCAAAGATGCCCAATTCTTCTCTGAGGGATACAAAAAAGATGAATACAATTGTGAGAGAGTACATGTATTAACAGAATGTAGTCTCTCTTAAATTCCTCAGAATAAAAAAAGTATAAGTATCTTCCAACACTGATAAGATATTTAGCATATATGAGAGTAAATTTTAAAAAAGTATTATTACAAAATCATAGACAACTTTATTAAACAAAATATCAAAATGAAAAGCTACTGTTTCTTGACATATGGCCTCCATCTAGGTCCATACTCTTCTGAATATGGTGTTTCCATCTCTCTAATCCTTCTCTGAAGAATTCCGTGCTTTTCAATGTATACCACGTCCAAATGACAGTTTTAGCATCCTTGAGGTACTCAAATCATGTTCCTTTGGAATGTTCTTTGAGTTTGGAGAACTAAAACAAGACTATAGTGGCAATATCAGGCTGTAGAGTGTATGGGGTAAGGTCTCCTAGTGAAATTCACATAGGACAACCCCTGATACCCTCAAAGAATAAGTTGGGGCTCATTTTCCAGCACTATATCTGGCAATATTCTGATACTCTTCATCATGTTTCAATATTCAATATTCTGATGCTGACAGAGTTCCATTGCTCTTCATTAAGGTTTGCAGTGACTAAAAATTCAGAAGTAGTCTGTCTCTTCTTCCTCATCTGTCTTAGTCCGGAAGCTCAGTTGAAACCTGTTCACCATTCGTGAGACCCTGCTAGTATTTAAAATACCCATGGCAGAGCTTCCAAAATCACAGCAACATGCATGCCACTACAGTATAACAAAATGACAGATGTGAGGTGGTAACTTACCTTGGTACATGACAATTGCAAAACCACATTTTAAATAAATAGTTCAGTGAACAAATACAAGTGTCATACTATGTCGTGTCCTGGAAAATGATCCTTAATCATTTATAGACCTACAAATTTGATTTAATTAGTTAGTGAAGAAAACACACTGAGAAAATTAACCATATTCTTTATCAAGATGGAATAACATACAATTCTTAATCTGGTATTCGAAACCAGATTAAGAATTGTTCATGTTTGTACAACTTTTTTGCATTTGCTCCCAGCTTGAGTGTTTAGTTTTTTAAAAAGTCTTTCAGAACTGCCAAAAAAAGAAAAACCCCACACACAATAAAACAGATTTTCATCACTTACAAAATTTTCTAGAATTAACAAAACTTGAGAACGGGCTTCCTTGAGTTAGATACACTACATATGTAAAAACAGCCAAACAAACAAAACTCATGCTCTAAATAAGCCTCTGAGACTTACTTCCAGTGTTCTACAAATGCAGTGAATGCAAGAAACAAACAAATCTAGAGCATACTACAAGGCAAGTGCTCTAGTCTCTTTGAGATAGAAAATAAACAAATAAAAAACGACAAGATACTTTTCAGCACAAATGGAGAAATCTGAGTATGACCTGGGTATTAGATAACATTAAGAAGATATTGATTATTTTTATAGGTGTGGTAATGACATCATGGTAATAGAGGGTTGCATATCCTTGGGAGATGTGATGTATGATGAAGTATGAAGGGTTAAATATTTCTGCTCCTGCAAAGGAGCCCTGATAGCCTAGTGAGTTACGCTGCTAACTGAAAGGTCAGCAGTTTGAATCTACCAGTTGCTTGGCAGGAGAAAGATGAGGCTTTCTGCTCTGGTAAAGATGAACAGCCTTGGAAACCCTATACAGTATTGCTCTGAGTGGTACACAGCCAACAAACTAACCAACCAACTCTCAAATAGTTCAGTAAGAATAAAACGTAGTCTCTATATAAAGAGAGATAAAGCACATATAACAACATCATGTATAGACTAGACTCTTCTCTCAAGTGTTTGAAATTTGAAGATATAAAGACAAAAGACCTTATGGCCAACCCATGGATGTGACATTTCAAGAACTCTAAGAAGTTACTGAAACAATCTATTTAGGATGATCATTGTAATTATTGTATCATCTTTACGCTAAGGATGTGAAATAAAAATATGAATGTATTTACAGTAAATTAACTAAATTTTGCTGTGTAAGTTTTATTCTAAGGCAAAGTATTTGTCTTTTCAAAATACTTTCAAATGTAAATAGCCAATCTTACCCAGAACTCTTGAAGACTGATCACTGATAGAACAAACAGCTTCAGCAAACAGAACCACCAGGCTTGCCCAGTTGTTAGAATCCTGCATCACAAGATATTCTGGAAGAAGGCAAAAAATGTCCAAAGCTTCTTGGTGTGGAGAATGCAATGGAAGATTTCTGAGCAGATTATCACTGAGATTTGTGGTTATCTGTAGTCAAAAAGAATTTGGGGAAAAAGCACTCAAAGCAACACAGCAGGTGTTTATTGGGTGAGTTTACTGTGCTAAAAACAAGGTGTACAATCTGGAGTTTCATTCCACCACAAGACTGGAATAATCATTTAGTTTTTATGAAACCCATGTTTATATTCCATCTCAACTAGCCTCCCAAATGCCTGAGATAGTATCTGAGCCACCCTGGTGTTGTTGTTGTTAGGTACCATTGAGTCAGAACTGACTCATAGCAACTTTACGGACAACAGAACTAATTACTGCCCTGTCCTGCGCCAACCTCAGAATTATTGCTACGCTTATGCCCACTGATGCTGCCACTGAGCCAATCCATCTCTTGGGGTTGTTCCTCTTTTCCTCCAACCTTACACTTTACCAAACATGACACCCTTCTCCAAGGATTGGTCCCTCCATATAATATGCCCAAAGTATGAGAGATGAAGTCTGGCCATACTAGCTTCCAAAGAGCATTCTGGCTGTACTTCATCGAACACAGATTTGTTTGTCCTTTTGGCAGTACATGATATTTTTCATATTTTCCTAAAATACACAACTCAAATGCTCATTTCTTTTATAACCTTCCTTATTCACTGTCCAACTTTCACATCCATATAAAGTTATTGAAAATATGTCTAGTGCCATGCGCACCTTAGTCCTCAAACTGACATCTTTGCTTTTCAGGTCCTTATCGAATGGCAGTTTTGACTAGTTGTCAAAATGGAACTTTCAGTCTCTCTTTGAGGGAAAGTAGTGTGTGAGAGACAGAACTTGCAGCTCAGATACAACTTGCAGCTCTGACTTCAGCAGACCAAGCCGAAGAGCAGGTAAAGAAGCTGAAGGGAAGGAGACTCAGAAGAGGGGAAGAGAGATTACAACAAGACAGAGAAAGAAAGAGAATGAGAGCTATAAAAAGGAAGGGTGTGACATAGAATGATGGCGGTAAGGTCATGAGGAGGGAAGTAGAGGGTGAGAGGGAGAAAAACAGAAGGTACCAAGTGAGAACCAGAAAGAAACATTGTAAGAACCTGGAAAGTATTCACATTAGAATAAGCAGCACAATAGAATAGAGAAAGAAATCAGTAAGGGATGTAGTTGTTGTTGTTGTTGTTGTTAAGTGCCATCGAGTCAGTTCCGACCCATAGCGACCCTGTACAGGGTTTCCGAGGGATGTAGTAAGATAGGCTAAATGAATAAAGTAGCATGTTTAGAACAGTTGCAGATATAAAACCGACAAACAGTACTATTGGTACTGAAATAAAGAAGCAATAGTGCCACAAAGAATAATAACAATCTGGAACCTACAGAGAGAAATGCAATTCAAAAATCCAGATAGTACCTTGGTAAGGGGGATGTTTACATCAGAAAAAGTATGTTCAAATCTATACTCATGCTTCAAATAGCTGCACACCAAATGTCGGTCTTGATGCTAACCTCAAGGTCAGTAGTTCGAATCTACCAGCTGCTCCATGGGAGAAAGATGAGACTTTCTGCTCCCGTAGAGATTTACAGCCTCAGAAATCCTACACAGGATCATGCTGAGTCGGAGCCGACTCAGTGGCACACACTGTTGTTGTTAAGTTCCGTTGAGTTGGCTCCAACTCATAGCCATATTATATAGGTTTCCAAGGAGCAGGTGGTGAATTTGAACCAAAACTTGTGGTTCAAACCGACATTGTGGTCCAGTGCTTATCTTACAAGGCCACACCAGGACCACCAATCAATCTCCTACAGCCCTGAGCTGTTACGATTCCCTCTAGTAAAGTGTGTGTATACTAATGAATTATTGAGACTATTTGTAACCAATAGGACTAAACCACCAATTCTTTTGCCTTGTTGGCAAACTCCTGAAAGCTGAACTTCACTTAATGTGTATGCTACATGGTCAAAGAATCTCTCAACACAAAATATTTCATCTGAAATGTTCTTACGTATTTTCTTCCCCAAATAACAATATGAGGAATACTACCATGTTAGCAATCTGGTCCTTCTGCATTAACTCCTTAAAGATGTATCTTGCTTTATTTAAGTCTAAATGAATAGACATGCTTTCTGCAGTTATTCTGTGGAAACAGAATAAAGGCATAAGTGGATAGATCAATGAATGAAAATGGACACTTTTTAATTAAGTACATTATTTTATTACATCATGTTAGTATCTAATCAAAAACTTTCTTCTAAATCTTGCTTCATTTCATTTAATTATTATTTCAAATTTTCTAAAATAGTAATAATTTGGCAAAATACAGCTAAAAATACAATATTGGTGTTAGGTGCTGTTGAGTCAGTTCCTACTCACAGCAATTGTATGTACAGCAGAACGAAATATTGCCTGATCCTGAGCCATCCTTACAATTGTTGTTACGTTTGAGCCCATTGTGACTGTTACTATGTTCAGTCTTATCAGGTTGGGGGTCTTCCTCTTTTTCACTGACCCTCCACTTTCCCAAACATGATTTCCTTCTCTAGGAACTGGTCCCTCCTGATAACATGTCTGAAGTATGAGGGACAAAGTCTCACCATCCTCACTTCTAAAGAGCATTTTCTTCCAACACAGATTTGTTTGTTTTTATGGCAGTCCATGGTGATTTTAAAATTCTTCTCCAACACCATAATTCAAATGCATCAATTCTACAGTCTTCCTTATTACTGTCAGATGCATATGAGATTTTGAAAATACTGTGACTTGGGTCAGGCACACCTTAGTCCTCAAACTGACATGTTTTTCTTCATAGAACCCAGGTTCTCAAATTATTTGCTCAGTATACAGGTTGAATAAGTATGGAGAAAGAATACAATCTTGTCGCACACCTTTCTTAATTTTAAAACATTCAGTGTTCCCATGTTCTGTTCGAACAACTGCTTCTTGGTCCAGGTACAGATTCTTCATGAGTACAATGAAGTGTTCTGGAATATTCATACTTCACAATGTTGTCCATAGCTTGTCATGATCCACACAATCAAAATCCTTTGCATAGTCAATAAAGCATAGGTAAACATCTTTCTGATATTTTCTGCTTTCAGCCAAGATCCATCAGACATCAACAGTGATATCCCTCATTCCACATCCTCTTCTGAATCCAGCTTGAACCTCTGGAAGTTCTCTGTCAATATATGCTTGTAGCTGTTTTTGTATTACCACAGGCATCAATTGATCTACAGGAGCCCTGGTGGTATAGCAATAAGTGCTTGGCTGCCAACTGAAAGGTTGGCAGTTT